AATTCTTCACCTTCCCTGTCAATAGATAAATTGCAAGAGCAGAAAGCCTAGATTGTTCTCGGGTAGATCCCAAATAGTTCATTAGAAGTTTCAGTTTTGAAAAGCTCCTCACGCATGAAGCCACAAACACACAGATCGTAAGAAATAGTTGTAGGCTTAATTGAGAGGCTTTAGGCTTTTGAGGAGTCTGAATTAGCTATGAATCTCAAAACTTCCAATATTGACGAATCTTCGTTGAGATTAATATCTGCTGCTTTGAGATGCCTTTACAACGTTGATATTTCAATTAAAAGTTCACTTTCAGATGACTCATCATATAAAATTATCAGTTTGGGAATGTATACCATTCTTCAGTCGCCTATTGTAGACTCTAAACTTAAAGAGCCTCACACACATCTGCTTCTTCCTTCATGGCTCTTGATCTGATCTGGAGTCTGAATGAAAACTATCAATTTGCCCTATAATTTTATTCTTGCAAAATGATTCAGGGGTGTCTTGATTGCTCCCCTGCCAATGTCCTCACCTCCTTCAGACATCTCCATGAATCTCCTTGAAGTCTACCTGTTCTTAAGGAATCTTGCTCAGTTAGTTCCCTGTTCTTTGTAACCTACTCTGTCAGGTGACACTATGATCTGGTGGAAACTTGATCTGGTGACACTCTGTTTTAAAGCATATAGCTCTGGTGTCAATCTGATCTAATGGCACCATGCTCTGGTGCATGCTGCTCTGATGGCAATCTGATCTGGTGGCACCATGCTCTGGTGCATGCTGCTCTGGTTTCAATCTGATCTAATGGCACCTTACGCTGCTCTGATGGCACCCTATTCTGGTGCACCCTGTCCAGTTAACATCTTGTTCTGATGGCAACCTGCTTTGGTGGAACTTTGTTCTATTATTTAAATGAGTGCTGTTATGAAAACAACTTGAATATACTCTGTAAAATTTGAAATTTTTCATTTGGTGTTACCCCCAGGAAGGGTGCCACCTCCCAGGAAGGGTGTCACCCCCTAGGAAGGGTGTCACCCGGTGCTGTTCGCACCACCCTAATGATGTCACTGGTCTATATATTGTGTAAAATTTTGTTTTTTGAAACACAAAGGATGATGCATCAAAAATAATCATCCATCCATCAAAACACCCCCCCCCCCCCCCCCCCCCTCCTCTCTGAATCTCCTATCCCGCCACTATGAGTTCTACTTCTTTTGAAGTAAACATTGTAACTAACTAAATTCCTTTCTTTTTTTAAAAGCAACTTTAAAGTCCAAGTATGTGTTATTGAACTCTTTATATTTATTTTTGTCTCAAACCTAATCTGACCTGTAACAAAACTGTAAGTGAACTTGTGTTCCTTTGTTATTTTTCTGTAGCCTGCAGAGAAACTCCATTTGGATCTATGTGCCAGTTTTGTTTTGTGTTCACTTGGTGCTACTGTAGGTCTCCACATTATGTCATGTCATTCTACTGTCATGTTTTAAGTTACTGAAATGGGGTAAACCTCCCAACATTCCCTTATGTTTTTTTAATTTAAATTTTGTAAAGGAACTCTTTTTTGTTCCATTATCTAAAACTCACAAGTGCTTCATTTTTATATTTTAGGGTGTCAGTTCTGTTTTCATTAAAAAAAATTGTCATGAGGATATTTTGTAGTACTAAAGTAGTTGTATAGCTTAAGTACTCATCCAATCTGTTATTTATTTAAATTTATTTTGGTAATGGATCATGAATGTTTATTGTAATTTTAGAATTTAATAAAATTGATCTAAGGACTTCATCCTATGTAATATTTTTTAGCTATGTACTGTTTCCTTTTTTCAAATTTATGATCTCATTTTTTTTTAATGGCGGAGTTGATATTGATTAAAATTTTATATAAGAAAATCAAATTTTGAAAAACTTAACTGACGCACATATTTTGTTGAGGGTTTGAGATTACTCTCTTACAACCCCAGCCAGCGCATAGGCAATCAGCTCCTACTGCTCAGCTGTGCCTATAAAATTTTCCTCACATAGGGCTCTCTCGTCACCCTGGTCTCCCGTGAAACATCTAGTGACCCACACTTGGTCAACAGATGCACTAGAGTTTCCAGGACCAGGCTGCAATGCCGGCAGACAGGATCCCTGTTATGGTCTATCCTATTGAAGTATGTACCCTCCTTCCACTCCTGCCTGCAGCCTCTAACTTTATAGATCTTGTAAGTTTAAGAGGGAAAAAAACTAAGTTATTTATTATCTGTCCACAGTTTTGCAGAAGATATTTTTGTCTAAAAAAAATTTCGCCTGCATTTTTTCAGACAACTTGAATAAGTTTTAATTTAAATCTTATTCCGTCTGCTAGAATTATTTGGACTTAATATGAAATGACCAAACTAGTTAAAATCTTATTCTATCAACAAGAATTATTATTTGGACTTATTATGATAAGACCAAACTAATTTAAAAAGTTAATACCTATTTAAAGTAATGGAAATCATGATTCAGCCATTTCTATGAGCTATTCCTTCAGCAATCTCCTTGACATATCAAATTGATTGAGGTTTTCTTTTTGCACTGCTATGTGCAAAATAATTATATTGCTAATAGTGTGATTTGTATATTAATTACTTTTGTTATTTAAAAGGGATACTGCGGCCACAATTGTGTATTGTTTTTGGCCTTTTGAATTGATGTTGATTTTTAATTTGCAAAAATAGTTTTTAGTTACATTATTTCTTTCTGCATTAACACAGTTTCCTGTGAAAACCTCCCACACAGCACCTCTCTCTCAAAGTAATCTGTATTTATAATTATGTTTGTGATATATAAAGTAGAATCAAAGATTAAAGCGATTCATTATCATAGGTTCTTTACCTCAAAGCTTAAAGTTTTCATCACGATTTCTCAAACATTGTTTTAAAATTCTTGAACCTCTCTTAGAAAACTTTTTTCATAAGATATGTTTCTTCTTTCTTTAGATATATTTATTATTTCTTTAGATATATTTATTCTATTACAATGTGTGACATGCTGACACATTTCAAAGTAATGTCATACTTAGTTAAAAGTTATGAAAAGTTTTCATTTAATGAATATGGTGTTCATAATAAGCATAAAATAGAGATTGATATTTTAAAGTGAAGAGTTATTAAAAACAAAAAGATTATATGTAATTATTATGAACTGTTGATGAAATGTTGACATTTTTCTAATATGTAATTAACCTTTGACTTAAATGTGTAGTAGCTATGTGTGACTTAACTGTGAACTTGTTAACAGCATTGCCTTACTGTTTTGTTCTTTTTAATTTTTAGATAGCCATACAGTCTTACTTTGTTTATATTACTAACTGCACAGACTAAAATCGCCTATGAAAATTTGGCTGTAATGTGTTAAGGAAAAGAATAGAAATAAATTAATACAATTTTGCATTAAAGGTGTGATGTGCAATGGCTGAATGAGTTTTAGTGAAAATGATTACTGCATTGCCTTATTGTTGGATAGTTAAATGTCCTTGACTGTTGATATTCTCATTAGATAAGAATGTTTTGTTAAGTAAGAGATCTTTGAAAACATAAAGAGTTAAAAAAAAAAACAACCTGTGTAGTTGATGCTTCTTGTACTGCTTCATAAATATGCCAATTCCTGCATTGCAGTTCATTGTAAATAAGTTCCTACTTCAGTTTATTTCTTCTTTTGTCTTTGAAATGAATTATCTTTGGGAGTAAGAAAACATCTTGTCACCTGCCACTGGAAATTATTTTGGAGGCTTAGTTACTGACTTCAAAATATGCAATCAATTTTTATAAATATAATATATGCAGTTACAGTGCTTTTCATATGTTAAAAAATGGACACAGTTGTCGATGATTTTTCAACAACTTGTTCCAAAATTTGTGTTCCTTTAAATTGCTTTGGGTCAAATGAATGCACTTAAAAACTACTTTTGTATGAAAATTGTTTGGGTCGCATTGCAAAAAGGCCACGATAATTTTAAAAAGTTTATTTTATTTTATGTTTATTTATACATCCAGTTCTATTGTTTTATTAAAATAATTACTTCCACAAGGACCTCCCACTCCTCAGATAGTTCAATATAAATTTTATATTGAAAACAAAAAATATGCCTAGTTCTTATTTCAATTGAAATATGCCGCTTCTGAACAGAATAATTCCATTCTTTATTATTTTTCTTCCTTCGCAAGCAAAGATGACCAAGGCAATATTCAACTTGATTAGCAGCATTGACACAAGCTGCATTTTGTATAATTTAAATTGAGGGAGAGTAGCTCCATTCTTCAGCCTCACTCTCTTGTCCTTGCCTCTTTGATTTAATGGCAAGACTTCATCAAGATGACTGGAAATAGACCAGAATGCAGTAGATGACAAGCAGTGTTTTCTTTTTGTCTTTATGTGTTCCACATCACAGGAGCTGTCGGAATTTTCATTGTGTCACGTCATGCCGCTTAAGAGACTCCATCTCCAGGTTTGATTTCAGAGTTTGCATTCTCTTAGATGAGTTGCAAACTAAGGTTCCATTTATACTATAGTTATAGCCTAAGCACTGCATATTCTTTGAGGAATGAAAAGTGTCATGTAGATTTTTTAAACCATTAATTTGACTTCTAGTGTATATCTGCAGTAATAAATGTATGTTTCAAAATCTGTGTTAATAGGTAAAATCATAGTTATATAAGCAAGCTTATTCAAAATTTCTTTATAGTATCCCTTTTTTGGTTAACCTTTTTTAAAATATTTTTTTAAAGAGAGAGAAGGGGAGGGGGAGGGAGGGTTGTGGCCTGTTATAAATTATAAATGGGCGTGACTTTGTTGAAAAGAATTGTGAGAGAATGCATACGAGTTCGTCAATATGATGAATACTAGAATCTAAACACTCATTATTTTAAAAATTATTTGGTCTGTTTTCCTTACAACTAAATGCACAATAGACATAAATGCAGTACAGTTTCCAGAATAAACAATGTAGACAGAAATCTGAAAGAATTTCCTTTTTTTTTTTAATTATTCCGTTATATTTTTATTTTAATAAAACTTGTATTGCTTTCAAAGTGAAGTATACTCAGCATTACAGAGTAAGTGTGCTCAATTTTGGGATCAATTTCCTCAAACTCATTGTTCTATCTTGATAGACAAGCCAACCCAAGTAGGTGGTATCAGTTACTACTTAACATTTGATGATATAAATTCATGGAGTTGAATCCTTGATTAATAAAATTGACAATAACTGGTAGTTTCCTTGATCACCTGATAGATAAAACTCATCTTGGTAAATGAAAATTTTAACAGTAACTAAAATACATACTATCTATTGTGCGTGCATGACATAACATTGTAAAAAGAAAAACCCTGACAGCTTAAAAAATATATAAGCATAATATGCTGCACTAATGGCTTTTTCTCATGGCACCTGGGGAGGTTAATCATTGGCTACTGGTTTATTAAACCTTGATGTTTGAGAGCCATGCCTGAAGCTGAGCATTTGGTATGTGAGAGGACATTTTATCCAGAGGCATGTAATCCAAATTTAGAAGAAAGCTGCAGTTTTCTGCTTAAAAAATATTTCAAAAAGTATCAATACATAAAATTCTCAGGTCTTGTCCAACATATTTAATGAAGCTTAGCCACATGTGTGTGCTGCACAAGGGTAGTTGAGTACAACTCTGCATTCACATTGAAAGTTATTATCTACCCTTGTATTTTGAGTCTTTGTGAAAGCTGTTAGTCTCAATGACATTTTACAGATACAGGTAAAATTACACATGTTTGATTGTCATAATTACTAACTAGTCATCTAAAATTAGATCACTTATTGTAACAATTAGGATTAGAACTTGGCTCATGTGGCATCCAAACTGATCAAAATTATGTCTGTAGTCCTCCTTTTCTTTCCCATTTATATTCTAAATTGAAAGTTAAAGTCAAGCTCCAGATAAACTTGCATATTTTTAAACATTTTTGAAAACAAAATATCAAAATTTAAATGTGATTACTAAAGAAAAAAAAACAAATTTAATCAAAAAGCTTGATTTTGTTTTCAATGCAGCAGGATAAGGCAAACATAAGACTACTGCTACTAAAATATTTATGGTAGTCATACCTAAATTCAATTTGTATAGCATACTATTTTTAAAAAATTATTTCAATTGCACAAAATATAAATTACTTTTCCTAAGTACTAAATAAATAAAAACAAGAAGTATGGTAGGTGTAAAAAATCAACAACTTTGTTCAAAACATTTGAAAATAAAGTCATGACAATCCATCACTTTTATGAGCACATTAAGACTTCTTTTATGTTGAACACATTTTAAAATACTGGATTACAATTATTATAATACTTTAAAAAATGTTTATTTATTAAAAACATCCCTTTAAAATGTATCCTTTTACCTTTAATAACTTTTTGTAAAAATATTTATTTTTATATCAGGTATGTTAAGGTACTGGTACACTAATTTTCTGTAAGGTCTTATTAACCTATTTTGACTAATAAAGGAAGGTAAACACTTTTAAAAAAAAATACAAATTAATTGTGGTTGAAGTATTTATTTGCAACCTTGCTAATAAAATGGAATGATAACATTCACTGCATACAAATAATACAACTAACAAATTCTATAGCTTTAGCAAAAGTGGCTGGTTTTCTTTCTACAGTTACAAGGCAGATATCTGCAGTATTTCAATGGGTACAGAACGGTCATAATGAAACCTGTGGTGCTTAGGTGATTCAACAACTGTGTAATTGAGACCTTCAGATCCTGAAGAAAAAAAATACAAATGAGAATTAGCTTTTACTAGAAATTATTAATGCTATCTGTCACTTTTAAATATGCTCATACCCAGATTATCTAATATGCATCTGAGTAAGTCAAAGGCTAGTGGATGTGATTAGGTTAGGCTAGTGACCATTTCACTTGGATTTTCCAAAAGTTTTATATCAAGCTCTGAATCTTACCCATTGCAATGAGGAAAGCATCTCTTGTATCTTCATTGCGAATAGTTGAGGCAATAAAGGCTTTAGGTCTTCTGTTACTGTCTGGTCCAGTGTCAAGAAGACTCTTAAGAACAAATACTAGGGCTGGGATTATACTGGTATCATACACTACATCTGAAATAGGAAGAATTATATTATCATTCTTGAAAGAAGTTACTCTGAAAGCTTTTTATTTGATTATGTGTATTTCTATAAAATTGGAGGGATCTTTTAAACATAAATCTAAATTTTTTAAGTTCATTCATTTCTTTATAAGTAAATAATGCAATAAGTACAACAATTACTGCTTCAGCCCTTAGTAAAAGAAAGAAAAATAATTATTTTAATTTAATATTTACATTTGTGAGGAAAAAACTAAATTTTAAGCATTAAACTTTCAGTAAAGATACACTTGTATTACCTGCTGCCAGGATGATATCAGACTTGAGCTTTTCTAGAATTCTTCCCTTTACACATTCCCAATCCAGGTGACAAATACTTATTCGCTTATCTCCCTTCAAAGTTGCAAGTCTATGAGAAGAATCCACATCCCAAAGGTTTCCATTCACGTCTAACTCAACTGGGTCAGAATATATTCCATCATCAATTGTAATTTCCTCTCTCATATATCCTTGATCAGATGGCTCTGAAATTTCATTTACATCACTGCTATTCTCTTCAGAACTTTGCTGGTCTGATGAAAGACTCAACTGTTTCCGAATTTTTCGCAAGATTTTTCTGTCACGGTCTGAAGAATCTGACTCTGTTTTGCAATGTAAATCAATTAACACATTTTGCTCAATGTTTTTAGACAGAAGGTAAAGAACTTGGGCATGACAATCAGTAAATGCATAGTTTTGAATTTGGCAGTATTTACATGCAACAATGCCAGTGAGGCCAAGGCCACTTCCCAGTTCTGTGACTGATCTGAAACAAAAATTATTAAAATAAACATTCAACGAAAAATTGAAACATTAAAATAAATATTTATTCTTTGCCAAAATAAACTTTAAACTTATGACATGCCAATATTCCTAAAATCATTTATTTAACTTCATTACAAATATTTGAGAAAAGTTGTTATGAAATTAATAACCATGACAGTTACAAAAAATTCTATATGACTGAATTTACGTTTATGAAGACAGTTACAAAACAAATGATTCACTTCTTTTGTAGGTACTTTGACATAAATGTTACATTTTGTCTGCCATAAAAGATACATCATTTTAAAGGGCTGAGCTATAACTTATACGCTTTTTATAAACATCAATTTCATCTTTCTATCTTTTAAAGAAGTGGAGATATGATTTTTTTGTGTTAATTTTTTAAAGTTAAAGCCCCTTATTTATCTTTGTATTTAACTGCCAAAACTTGTGATCGACTTCCCAAATTTCTGACTTATTTTGCCCACAACTTTGTTTTATTTTAAAAGATAATGCAACCAAATATTTAGGAGGAATTCTCAGGGCATTATACAACACAATGAACAACAAAAATGTTACATAACATGAAGACTTTTTATTTTTGATAATTTTATTTGAGGGTAGGTCAAAAAATCCTGACAAGAAAATTGGAAAAATTATTACTGTTAGAGGCAAAAACAAAAGAAATGTTTTTATTGTATTTTAATCAAATTTTAAACCAATGCTAATATTTATAAAAGATAAGTAGAAGTATTTTTAAAAATAAGATTAAATACATGAAATTATAAATTATAATAAGAAAATAAAATCCCACATAACACTAATAAGAGTAAGAGGATACCAGTGTATGATTAAGGTAATGAGGCTTTTCTGCCTGTTATTTTCTGGGTATATAGCTATACAGACTTCTTTGTTTTGTTGATGAATCCCACAATCTCTCCATCATAAACTTTGTCTTCGCCATCTATGTCCAAATATGCCTCATAGCATATGAAAGGAATTCCCAGTTCTGCAACAGAAAATTAAAATTTTCTCTTGCACTCAGAAGAAGACTAAAAATAACAACTAGACCTAATCATAATTCTGAATCTATACAATTTTTAGTTTCTTTTTAATATTATTAGAGTTATGTGATTGTTAAAATGTATTTCTTTTTATTTATTTTATTAGAAATGTAAATATTTGTTGAGCTAAACTGTTTTCCTATGCCTATGTCCTAATAAAAATATAATTAATATGATGATGCTGAGTTTTATTTATTTATTTGATGTATTTAATAAAATTGTTATGGACTAATTTACATTATCTAATTTTAAACACATCATAAGAGTGACACAATTTTCACAAAAATTTATATTATATTAAGTTTAGATTTAGAAGAAGTGTTCCAATATGAGCACGCTGAGCCTACTTTATTGGCTACTGCTTTTTATTGTGTTATTCCATTAATTATAATTAATAAATAGCGGTAATAACTAGGCCAATACATATAATTGTGTAAATCAAGGGACAAAACAAGTCCGAAATTCCCCTACTATACGAACTAGAATTATTGAAAACTTTAATTTATTGGGTTGTATTTATTTCTAATAATATCGTAAAACCGTTTCCCATTTATTAACTGATTAGTGTTTCACTAATTTTTAAAGATAAGCAACAATGAAAATATATTTAAATTAAATGGATAAGAGGAACCATTTAAGACAACCTAATTTTTTTTGTGAGTAGTGGTGACTCGGGTGACTAATGACAATTTTATTTTCGTACACCTTCCAGTCCGAAATGCTTAACTTTAGTTTACAATTTCTATTATTAATGAAATAAAGTTATTCCTGTTTGTGACTGAACGAAGCAATATTGGGCTAAACCACTAAGTGTTTTAATTTTACATTACAAAATAATAAGCTTACATACCAAGATATAAGATTAAATATGTTGCCGGTCACAAAATTCACCATGCTGCAAATATGGTACAACCGTGTTTGGAAAAATATGCGCTCTATGTCACTGTTGACAAAATAATGTATTATTAGAAAACTGTGACATAAAACGCAAAAAAGCGAAACCCCCACCAAGCTGTATGTTATATTGCTACAAAAGTTTTTGCGTTATATTTTCCATATGCACATCTATGTGCGATTTAGTATCATGGTACCTATATTTTGCATTTACATCTATAAAGTTTATCTAAATGATTAACTCTCAAAAGACTAGATTTTTCCAGTTTTTAATGACCTTGAATATATCTTATTCTTCAAAGTGTCTCATGACTGTAATTTTGTAGCTACCTCCAAGTATTATATATCATTTTAAAGGTAATTGGATGCTCTTTAATTGATACTTGGTGTTTGTTCAAAATATCCTTGCTAAATTTGATGTTTTATTATTTTTGGGCAAAAAAAAAATTTTTGTAAGTCGACAAAAACATAACATCACAGTTTTACAAAGAAGGAAAAAAAAAAGTTTTTCCAATAAAATCAATAAAATTGATATTTTATTAGAATGTGTTCAATACTATAAAACATATTCAAATTTCAAAACAATAGACTCATAAATAAAAAAGTTATGACTATTTTTAGGCAACAGATCATTGAAGGAAATATTGCTCAAAAAGTCAAAATTATTTTCAAAAAATAATAATAATTTTTTTTTTCAAAGGAAAACATATAATGCATCATATTATCCTTCAGAGGATTATTAGTAAGTATTATTTTATAAGAAAAGTTAAGAAAAAAGGCACATTTTAATAAATAAACATTTTTTATGCATCCCCCTAGATACCGATCAAAGGATATAATCCTTCGCCAAGACCATGCATAAAAATTCTTGAAAACAATTTCTTTATTTATCAAAACATACAAATGTATCAAAAAGAAAGCCTGTGACATATGCTCTGCCCATTTTACCCTGTTTTGGTAACCCACAATTACAGTTTTTGTTATTGTCATGTTCGCAGCGCACGATGTAAAGATTTCGGGCTTTACAGTATCGGGTTCATCATCAAATATGTCAATTGTTCCCTAAATTGTTCATTAATTGCTACATTTTCTTGATGCTGATACAGTTGATTGTATTTTGCATTGAGATACAGAAGTGTCTCCCAATTTTACACAGCATTTTCCTTTATTTTCAGTATCAGAAACTTTTAGGAAACTCAATATAGCCTTGAATATATCCTGAGTACTAATGGCCTTGCTCATTGTCCATCATAAAAGGATTTCCTGGACATTTCTTGTAAAATTAAGAGCTTGATAAGTCCTGCATTCATAATAAATCCACTTAGTAGATAAAACTCCCCTTCAATGATGTTATAATGGTACCAATTTTTGAAAACACAAAAGTTCTGCGGTCCATTGTCCTGCGCACAAGGCTTACTAATAACCAACCAAATCTGTAGTAAAGTAGAGGTTGAAAATGTCAATTTGCTTTTAAAATCTCCTTATATCCTCTCTTGTTATAACATCAGGAAGCAATAGTGCTTTTCACCTCTGGTCTAAATGCAGCAAAGAGTCCCACAGTCTTTTGTCATCATAACCCATTGTATTGACTATGTTTGACATCTGCCCTTCATAGATGCTGTCAAAATATATAAAAAAAAATTTGTTTAGCTAAAATAAAAAAATTAAAATATAAATAAAAAGAATTCAAAATAATAAACAATCTGCCTAAATTACTTTTACTTCAAGTTTTCATTGAAAAGGGAACACAGCTGATTGTTACAGTGTAATAATAGCCTTGGCCTTGAGAACCATTGTTTACATTTTGCTAACTGAAACGTAATAATATTAAAATAATTGTATAACTACAAATTAGTTTCAAACAAATAAATAATTTAATCTATTTAAGAATTTTATACTACTGGAACTTGAATAAAACTAATAATAGTGCTAAGAAAGTTTCACAGTATGCGTGAGTTGAGTATGAATGAAAAAAGTAAACAAACCTTGGATACTATTTTTATGATGATAATTTACAGAATTCTCGGTATCAGACACATCTGAAGTGCTATCTTCATCAAAAATATTCCTCTAAGTAAGAATAGTTGTCCATTTCAAGCTTATAATCAGAATCAGACTCCATAGCAATGTTTTAGAGTGTAGTAACAGTTAACCGGGATTGTGGCAAAATATGAGTAAATGGCGAAAAGGAAAATTTATGAATGGACAAGTTGCTACCAGATTTCTAGAACTAGTAATATAAACGATTGTTCTTTCTTGCCAAATAGAAATTTAACATTCCAAAATTGTAAATCTTTATTTTCGCCTTTTAATATTATTTTTATATATATTTTAGGGGTCGTTTTTTTTACCCGCCATATATGACCGATTTTTCAATCTCCCGTCTTTTGAGAGTTAAGTTAATAGCCATATAAATTAACATTATATTCTAACATTGTCATTCTTTGACTATTTTGAAAGAAAAAATGTAGTAGCATTACTTGTTTGTTAAAACTTGAGGATTTTCTAAGATCCACTCAGCCAGATGTTGAGCTGCCTGCAACAAATCATATGTTTGTCTTATGTACATATGAAAATCCTATTTCCAAACACCCCTAATGAGTTACTTCCCTAAAGCTTTTTAATGGTAGTTACTTCCCTAAAGCTTTTTAATGGTAGTTAGTACAAATTTAAACTTTATAATTTTATCAGGGAAAGAAAAAGGTGCATGAGTTCAGTAATATTAGTTTTTATAAATGATTTCATCATTTTAAAAGTATCTCTTTCTTTTCAAAATACCTTTCATCTTTGAGAGTATATGATGATATTGTGATATTGAAACTAAATCTCCATCTTAAAACATAAAGTATGTATTTCTTGGAGTATGAAATAATTGTTATGAAACATCAAATGAAAAACAAAATTTCACTAATTTATTAAAAAAATAATTGTTAACACTGAAATTGAAGAATAACAAAAGAAAGAAAACAAAATCATTAAAATAAACAATAGATCATATTATTTTCTCTCAGTTGGAACACTGCAAAATTACAAGACTTCTGAAATGGTTTGCTAACAGCTTTTTTTTTTGATAAGGTGAAAAAAAACACTCAGAAAAGGGACTGGTCATTTTCTTATTGCTAGGAATCATGACAGCCATCTAAGAAAGCTTTTCTTTCTTCCTTATAAACAAAAAATTAATCAACACCCCCCCCCCGTGTGAATGTTATTTATGAGTGCTGGTAGTTAAATTATCAAAATAGTTACAATATTTAATAATACAGACCTGCCACGTACTAAGACCTGTAGTTCCCTGAGACACAAGGTGAACCGACTCTTGAAGGGAAATGTATTCACCAGAGAGCTGAGAATAAACAGACATAAACATATGCAGTTTCATTGAAATGGACAAATGACATTTACAAGCAAAACTACTTAAAATATATCAGATTTAAAGCAACTGTTTAAATTTACCATTTTGTAAGATTTAAAGCACAGTGTTTCATCATCATCCTCATTACAAGACAAGAGATCAGTGTATGCTTCATACATTTCATCACAGATGTCTGCATCTTCTGTCTCCAACTAGAAAAAGGATAAGAACTTACTATTAATAAATACATACTTATAATGTTCTAAAAACTTGTGATAAAATGTAATACATACTATCAAAGGCTGTGAGGCCATTCATAAATGATGTTCTGTTAATGTGGCTCCCCCTCCCCCATTATGTTACATCATTAATGGATAGCCCCTGTGGTAAATTGCATCACACACATTTTCAACTTAAATCAAATGAAAACTGAGATTAAACAAAACTTGACTTTTAAACATAATTTTATAGACATCACCTTATGAATTAACAATTTCATAAAACTCCGCATATATGAGAGTGCTGGTGGAAAACTGCAACAAACAGGGTGCTTGACTGTGGCCATTAAAAGCTGAAGCTGAAGTTCTGGTCTTGTAACTAGAAGAGCTGCCTCTTCATCCTTAAATGAAATGAATGCAATTACAGTAAAAAAATCCACTAGCTTTGATACTAAAATATATTTTCAACTTGCTTGTAACATTCTCTCCACAAATTACAGATTTATAACTGGGATTACCATCTTGAAAGATACTCCTGATAAAGCTCAAGTCAAGTTATGAGTTGAGGCAATGTAGTATAAATATTTTTAAAATTAGTCAAATCTAAATTAAAATATTAAATGGTGTTTTTGTCTAGCTCAAGCAATTTGTTTAAAATCAAGAAATATTTTTGGCACCCTCTGGCACTGAGGATTATTGGTCATCCCTGGGTGCTTCTGTACCCTGGTTGAAAACCACTGGTCTAAGTCCTAGACAAAACATAGTCATAGAAATTACAAATTATAATTAATAATATTAATAATAAGCTACTATATTTATATAGATAATTAAATAGATTTATACATTGACATACTAAAACACTTTGAACAGCCTGTACCTTCCATTTCATTTTCCTGACTGGTACCATCTCAAAAAACTGAGATGAGATCTCACGCATAGAGTCCATCTCATCTAAACACTCTCCATCTCTCTTAATTGAGGCAGCCATGGCTATTTTTTAAAGGACTGCTTGGACCACTTGTATGTTTAAACAGGGAGGTAGTCACCTTTTAAAGGATATTATTGGCATTGGTCATTGGTATTTATTACTATTTTTTGGAAGATTTATAATTTATACTAATATTTTAATTATCTCAAATTATGTAGTAATAGTAATGACTAAGTTTAAGAGTAAATAAAGTAAATAACTGTCACTGCTCTCTCACTCTCACTGTAAAATCAAGTAAACTCTAACTGTAACTAGTTAAAGTTAAATGTAAATATTAAATAAGTCACAAGTGTAAACTACTCAGTCTCAAGTGTACCTCCACCTGCTCACTCACTGTTTTGTCTTTAGACTGAGTGTAGAGAATAGATCAAATATATTTATAAGTTAGGGAGAGGAACTATGACTGTAACTATTCACTATACTATGGTATGACTTAGACTATATTATAATTAATATTAGTAGTATTAGTATTTAGTATTAGTATTTTGTGTAATTATTAATTTTAGGAGACCAGAAGTATTTTTGTTGCAATAATACCCAATAAACTGATCTCACAGTAGTCACGGGCAATACTTCAATGCATATTAATATTATTATTTGTAAATTCGAAACAATAAAATATGCATATATCTTGTGTAAAGTTATATCGTCAGATAAAGAGAGAAAGCTAGTACTAAGTACTCAGCTCATTTGTTAAGATTTCTATTTCTATAGAGTTGCTAAGTTTGGTTTTGGTTATGGAACTTGTAGTCTATGGCTCTTCACATTATTTTCATGGACAAATCCATTTGTTCGACGAACGTGTTTGCAATTACCTTATATTATTTTGGGGGAAATGTGTTGAAATTCTATTAAGAAGGCCTATGTTAATTAATTGATGCATAAACTATTTTAAATAAATAAGAATCAAAAGAACTGATGCTTAAGAAAAAAAACTTATATTATGATTTCTGAAAAATTAAATATTTACCGTGTGAATAATTTTAAAGCTTTGAATATTTAGACAAATCTATAAACAAATTGCAAGACTTCCGGCACATAGTGATTATCAGTGCGTCGCCAAACATGTAAGTTAAATGTATTTCCTAATTATTTTATAACGAATATTGGGGAATGTTTTCTAGAACCGTTATAGACTTTTGTAGATTTCCCTTTTCAACCTTAATTTAATGTATCTTTGTTACATTTAAGTTTGCACACATCAGTTATCGATATAACTACTTCAACTGGACTCGCGAGCAAAAAAAAAAAGGGTCTAATTACTAAATTAGTTAGTTAGGCCTACTCTACTCATTTATAAAACTGGTTTAGTTATGAGCACAAATGACGACAAAGACGACTATGTCCTATGTCAAAGTAAAAACGGTTGATTAGAGCTACGAAGCTTTTCTTGTTGATGATGCAGCATGCACTTTTTGAGTTGATAATATTATAACATTTTGCCACACCACACACTGGCCAATAATAAAGTACTAGTACTAGTTACTATTACTATGATTTTTACTATGAATGTGAGTGTAGTTAATCTAAATTCCAAACTAAACTTGTCTTAAAATAAAAGTGTCTGAATTCTAAAAGTAAATTTAGTAAATGCTTCTGTAATTGATCAATAAATTAATCTAATAGAATTAGTATTTGAATTTAATGTAACACCAAAAAAAAAAACAAACTAACACTAAACTTTATAAAAACTATCTACATGGACATGGTCGACATGGATGTCAACATCAGTATCAGGATGTTTGTACAATCTTAAATAATCATTATGATAATGTCATATTTAGGGTATTCTCAGAACACAGGTTCCAATTCAAAACATCCGTAAAATGCATCAAATGAGCAGTTCAATAATGTTCACTTCTTATCTTAAAGCCATTACCAAAAGAATATCATCCAGATGATTTTTGTGTGTGCTAAGTCCACAGTTTGCAAAAATTGACCCAGTGCACACACTGCCACTGCATCTTGTATTGGCATTGACAGCATTACCATGAGTAACTATCAGGGGACTTAGATTCTTCTGACTAAAGACATGAAATGTTGGGTTATTGTTTTTTTTTATTAGACAGTGTTTAACAAGCTACAGTAACCAGAGCTTGCTGGCTTACAGTGTATTTAGCGTTGTGCCATAAGTTTGAAAAATGTTTCCTGGTAAAACATTATATGAAATATAAACCAGCGCTTGTGGTCTGCCGGCCATGGCATTGTTTATTTTATATTATTAAAAGCAATAATTAGTCTGCTAACAAAATTAGACATTAACAATTAGGCCACCAAATATCGGTGGCTATTAGCCAGCAAGCCAGGCATTTTCTAACAAAAACTATACTTTTTGACATTTGGGAATGCCGTTCTGAGGATCACCCGTTTTTAGATGAGCTCATCAGATAAGTCATCACAACAAAATATCTGTGTTAGTCAATGTCACAGTTTCTCAAAAGTTGGTACTATGTTGGAAAAGTTTTTAAAAATTTCCTTCTGTCACGTAGACCTACCTTTTCAAAATTGCTATTATTTCTCTCTTTTTATTCTATGATTATCTTCCAAGTTAATTTCAGCCCATTGTTACATTTAGTATGATTTAGTTAACGCACAAAAAAAGTACAAAATACTACTTGGATTAGTATACACTTCAGTGTGTGAAAATTATGGTAGGTGTGGAAAATGTTATTCTAATATAGGCCTATTGAATGATTAGCTTAACTCGTACTTAGCTATTTCTAATGGACATTGTTCATTAAACAGGGTAAGAAGTGACAGCAAGTCGCGAGATGACAAAGAAAAAACAGAGAAAAAGAAAGAACTGAAAGATGCAAAAGACAGGGGCAGAGATAGAAAAAGACGTGGCGGATCAACTAGTAGCGACTCTAGAAGTAGTTCGTAAGTTTACACCAGCTAAAATTAGGGCACTACATGGCCATGTTATTTTTTCATGGTTATCAGTTTTAGGTATCGTTCTTGCCTTAACTGGGTATGAATATGAGTACATTTACTTTTTATAGATTATTTACCATCCAGTAAATTATTACAATATTTTTTTTTTGTTGGACCTCAACATTTCAAAACCATCAACAAATAGCATTTTTATTGGTATTAATTAAAATAAGTTCAAACACAGCCCTAGTTTATGTCTTCGAATAGTACGATCATTTATAATTTATTTTAATGTGATGTGTGATTTATAGTTAACAAGAAAGCCTTTTGTCAAGTGACCTGGGTTGAAGGAGGGTTGCTGCATATTACCGTACATAGAATAGTATTTAGTTACTTTATTTTTTATGTAATAATAAATCAGCTCAACTTCAAGGTCCAGAAGTGGATCTAGATCTTCCTCTTCAGGAAGCTCTAGTTCAGGAAGTTCAAGCTCAGGGAGTTCATCTCGTTCTGGTAGTTCCAGTTCTAGTAGATCTTCTAGCAGTGATAGCAGCCGCAGTCGTGGAAGAGACCGCAAGCAGAGGACAGAGTCAGTATTTGATAATTGATCAACTTTATCTCTTATTTCTTAACAATATATATTTTCATTATACTGATATAATTTTTAAAGTTTGTGTATTTTGAAGAAATAAAGTCAATTATGAATTTTTTTTAATTGATTGATATTAATAAATTATTTAAAAATTGTAAATCTTAAAATAAAACTTCATTTAACTGTAAAACTGAATAAGTTATTTCCATACTCAGTATACCGGTATATCTTTTCATTTGCTTACAGAACCCCAAAACGCAAAAAAAGGAGCCCAACACCAAAACCAACAAAAGTTCATGTAGGCCATTTAACTCGAAATGTCACTAAGGATCATATACAAGAAATTTTCTCACTGTATGGCATCATAAAAAATATTGACATGCCAATGGACAGAATCCATGCCCATTTCAACAGAGGCACAGTATACATTGAGTATGAGTCCCCTGAAGAGGCAGCAAAGGCCATTAAATTTATGGATGGAGGTAAGAATTGGAGAAGGATGGTTTGATTTCCATTGCAATATACAAAGATGATCAGAAACTGAATAAGTAATAAGTATTAAAATAATCCAGCATTCCTCAACAGCTTTACCTGATCTGAACTATTTGGGACTGGGGGGTAACTATATGAGTGATAAACCAACACGCCTACTTTCCGTTAAAGAAGTTAGTCCATTGAATAAAACTTTTTCTTATAGTTATAAAAGCAGTTTGCTTTATTGTACACTGTATTGACCATGGTGTATGGTTGATTGTTGTCAAAAACTGATCAAAATGGACACTCTACTGTTCATATAGAGGAGGGATGATGCTTGTCTGCTATGTATTATTTGACTTTTTGTTTGTTGGCAATAATGGTTGTTAAATATATTAATTTAACATAAGTATATTTAAACCCTTTCAATATCTGCAAAATAATAGAATTCTCTCCCATTACACATCAACAATATACCAACCATCCCAGCCTTCAAAACTGCCCTCAAGACCCACCTCTTCAAACTGTACTAAACCAACTCATTCTCACCCCCTCTAACTGATAAATATCGCTCGATGCTGCTGGGTGCTGTCCTGGGGTAGATAGTACTTGGGTGGGTGAGGTTAAGCTTTTTACCAATTGTTGTTTTTAAATGTATAATTTTCTGTAATTGCTAATTTTTATGTGAAGCCTAGCCCTTGGCTACTACGCAATATAAACCCACCTTAATAATAATAAAAGGGGCCATCCAGCATTATATATTTTACTTATGAGAAAAAGGTCAAATTTTAGATGCCTCCTTCCCCTGTTGCACCCTGTTGACAGTAAGTTATGAGATGACAAAGAAAAAACAGGGAAAAAGAAATAGATGCAAAAGACAGGGGCAGAGATAGAAAAAGACATGACAGATCAACTAGTATGTACGAGTAGGATGAGCCCCCCCCCCACACACACTCTCACAATCCCCAATATAAGATAAATTTATTTATAAACCATTATGGCTTACATGATAATTAAAGATGTAAAGTCATTGTAAAAAGGTGTTTACTAACTATTGGCCTTCACCTACAGGGAGGCAATTTTATATTATATGAGGACAAATAGTCTCTGGAATAATGGAAGGGGGGTGGAGCGGCAGCGTTTTCTGGGCTTCAATTTTTTCTTTATATAAAAGTGCATCATTTTCGACAGACTGAGGAAATTTTTTTATCCCACTCGGGTTGCAGTAACCCTAATTAGGCCACTGCTCTGGGAAAAAGGAGACATATATCAGATTCAAATTTGAAATGGGGTGATAGTGGTAATGTTAAAACAGAATATTTTTTAAAGTTAACCACCTGTTGTCATATTTTGCAATTCAAATATAAGATAAGATTCTTTTATCGATCCAAACAAATGGAAATGTTTTATGATTGCATTATACATTTTCAGCACATAAATAAAACAATTTGAACACAAGACATTAATAATAAATTATTTTAAAGGCAGCGAAATAGAAATTCAAACTTCTTTACAGCAGCATGTAACCTATTTTTTTCCCCTCACTAATTTGAGGTATGTGTGGGTTAAACTTAAACATTTTTAGATGATCAGTGATCAGGTGGGGTGTGGGGGGAAAAAGTTTGGGAAACACTTTTATAATTTTGTTTGTCCTGTCCGCCCCCCCCCCCCCCCCCCCCCCCTTGGTTCCCCTTAATTAAGTAATTAAGTCACAAATGATGCCACACACTCTGTGGACTACAGTAAGTCACTATTATAATTTCTAGTGCTGGGATATCTAGAGAGTTATTTGTGAAAAGATAGAGCAACAGTATGTTGATCATTACATAACATTGTGGTCATATTTTTATAGCCCTTTTGAAAATAATGAGAAATCACAGTTGCCATTCTCAGAGATATTAGAGACTGTCAGAAGTTCAGGATCATTACATGCAGAATCTACATAAATATATATATATATTTTTTTTTCTTATGACATCCCCCAATCCCCAATTCAAACCCAAATGTAAAATCTAAAACAAAATGGTGTGTGTGTAATATATGGATGGCCTCAAAATGTATGACAATAGATGTCAAAATTTGATGCACTGGCCTAAGTTTACCGCCCAGTAATTTCCAACTGTGTATCTAATTATCACATGTTACTTCGGCAGCAATAATAATCATAGGAAACTTAGTGCAGTGAATAAATCACATAACCGTAACTTAGTAATGTTTATTAGATGTGCTGGAAACAATATGTCTCAGTAGAATTACATGAACTAATGTAAATTCATCAAAGATTTGATACTTTTTAACTGTAAATTTGCATTTCATTGATACCCCTATTGTGAGGATTAATATAAAATTTTATTAAAAATTAAATTTCCTGTAGGTCAAATTGATGGACAAGAAGTTACAGCTGCTGCCGTACATGTTCAACGTAATCCCGTTCGCCCTCCAGCTCGTCGCAGTCCACCCAGGCGAGGAGGCCCACCACCCAGATGGAGGGCATCCCCTCCAAGATTTAACAGAGACAGGCGAAGGTAAATATGTTACTACTTGGAAAACGATGCAGGTTTTAAATGATTCTCTTCTGAATTACTTAAAAATTTAAGACGGACTATAGATTTTGTTTTTAAATAGTAAGTGAATGGGTTATTATCAAGTAAAAATTTGAAGGCCCATGAAGGAAAGAAACAAATTTATTTAAAAATAAATGACACATTATTATCTAGGTCTCCCCCGAGACGTAGCCCTCCAAGACGACGCTCAAGGTCACCGGTTGGTCGCCGCAGGCATAGTAGATCAAGTTCCAGTTCATCACGCTAATCCTTGCTTTCTTTTGCATTGTAAAACATGAATTTATGCTTTTGTGTGTTTTTAAAGGAAATTTGACATTAAAGTTAACTGATTTTTTAAACGTTTTTGTGTAATTTTTTATTCATTTGTTATTTTATAAACTGCAATACACTCCTTTCATGGACCCCAAAAGCCACTGATTTTTAAAAAAAATAGTGCAAGGGAAAGTCAAGATTAATCTTATCTTTCCCCTCTACTTATAGTTTAAAGCAATTTATTTTCATTCCAGTACTTTTGAAACATTTAAATTTAATTGACAAAAATCTCCTGGGTGTTGAGTACAGTTCCCTTTAGTATGAAATGTAGTATTAGTTTAAAAAGTAAAATGTAATATGAAGAAGGCAAAGATTGTAAATTGACAATTTTTGTCAGATCCTTAAAAAATTAGCTCAATTAAGTTAATAATTAAAGAAGTACCTAACAATAGGACTTCTTTCTATTTCTATTCTTTTACTAGAGCAGCAAAAGAATTATTTTTTTAAATTTATAAAATGGTAAGTGCAAAAAACTCCGACATTCCTAGGATTTCCTCAAGGGGTGGGGAGCAAGGTCGCATTTTATTTGGAGGGGGCTTGAGAGAAAACGTTCATTATAAGATGGAAATAAGTGAAGGGGAAAAACTGGAAAAAAAGACACAAAAAACGTGTCTGCAAAAATCCTTCTTCAGCGAACAAACAGTAAAAAAATTGATTATAAAAATTTAAACTATACTAATAAAAAGAAAAAGACTTGACAATCTCAAACCTACTAATAGCTTAAGACCTCATCAAACTGTCACTGGCAACAATTTAGTTAAATGCATCCCCACCTACCACCTGCTTTCTGATGAAAAAAGCTCTCATCTACTTCTAACAATCTTAAATTTATGCTACCAATTACTTTCGAATTCTCCTCCAATGGGCTGAACTTGTTCTCACCAATGGCCAATTCTTCAACACAATTAGTGGTGTTGCTATGGGGACTAAAATGGGACCCAGCTATGCATGTTTGTTCATGAATGGGACATTTGGAACACACTGGAATTTTGCAAACTGTACATTGATGATGGTATTGGGTCACCACTATTTAGGATTTAACTTGACCTATTCATCAATTTTGTTGTAGGCTCTTTTCACCCCTCCATTTAAGTCACGCCTTTGTCTCTGAGATCTCGGTAAACTATTTGGACACTACGGTCCCCTTCTCAAAGACCTACTGATAGCCGCAGCTATTTACACTATTTTTTTTCCCATCCTAAATCCTCTATTTCCTTTTCTCAACTCCTTCGTCGTCGACTTTGCCAGTTTTAGGATCACTTTTGGGACAAAGTACTTGAGATGACTATTTCTGGTGTAGGTCCTACTCCTACCTGGAGACAGTACTTCCATCACCCTTTCTTCATGGGTTAAAAATATTACTCATGCCGATGCCTTTAGGTCTCGTGTGAATGACAACAGGACCAAACTTATTCTCACACATCGTCATCACAATATCAAAGCCTAACATGTTTTCCTTTAAAACCCTGCCATGCTCCTTGCCGACCCCGACATTTTCTCAGCCCTGCCTCTCAATGTTGTCAGAAGAGATAAGAATCAGTGAGATCTCATTGTGAGTAGCACCTTGGGACCAAGCCATGTAGACACAGCCAATGCAAAACTTGCACTTTGGTCATCGAGACTCAACACATTCCCTTCCCACGGATTGTTAACTTTGAACTAGCCACAATGTTGTTTTGCATTGTTGTTTGATACCCACTGCCTGATGGCATTAATGGCTATCTATGTGAGACTGAATAGCACCTCTCTGACAGATGCCCCTTTGACATATTTTGAAATATAAGCTGTGTCCTGTATCACTAGAAGAGACCACACTACATAATACAATTACAGCTAAGAGTAGTTTATTTTTATTTCTATATTGTTTTTACTTTTGTTTGTTCGCTGAAGGCTTCTTGCCAACGTGTTAACTTTGTTGCGTCCTCTTTTCATGTTCTCTCATTTAGTTTCGCTTATGTTCTAACCGATAGCAGTCTCTCCCCCTTATTTCCATGATTATAACTATTCTAAGAACAGAGGAGCCATTGACTTTTTACTATTTTGTTTGTACCGGGTAATTAAATAAAAAAAGAAATTAGAAGTCAATTTTTTTCCTTCAAATTTTAAAATGCATTACCAGTATTACTTAGTATTACCTTTGTTGTAGGGGTGAGAACTGGGACACTTGGACAATGTACAAGTGTACAGAATATAGAAATGGATAGGAAACCCTGTAGCCATAGAGAAAAAAACAACTTACAAAATAGAAAATGGCACAAAGGTAACTTTTAATGCATTTATTTAATTTATTTAACTACGGGTACACTAAAAGAGAAAAAAAAGGGAATAAAATAGAATATTGGTTTTGGAAACTTCTTCCTGACTCCCAATCAAGTAGGAAATGTATCCTTCACCAAGCATACATTCGATTCAATTCAAGCTTAACTATACTATTACTACCAGTATTAAAGAATGAAAAAGACAGAGCATGTTTTATTTTACAATTTATCCTTTATTGATGAAAACGATAAATGAACATGAAGAGCTGCCCACAATCACACATAATCATCCAACATTTAAATCTTACACCTTTCTCGAAACTGATGTCTTGAGGAATATATTAAATCTGTGTCAATTACAAGTTAATATCTCATGAGTTGCTGAAATTAATATTCCATGCATACTACAAGAGATAAATTATGTACAATTATTTAATAAATAACACAGACATCACCTTTGCAAAAATGGATCTTTGAAAAAAGATACAAACATGAACAGATATCAGTATTTATAGTTTAATAGCAATTCTATTTAGATTTAATTTGGAAGATAAATAATAGTTTTTTTAAATTTCCTTGAATTTTTGTGACAATAAATCAAACCATGTGTAATCCTATAATAACAAATTTCCCCCACTCTTTTCCATTAATGTTAATTGTAATCACCACTTGAGCTAGGTATGTATATTTCAATGTTTCTGCATTGTTAATGACACAAGGACTCATCAAAATTATAAATACTTGTAAAATATAAAATAGGGTCCTTTATTGTATATAAATTAAAAACACAAAGGAAAAGGAGTCATAACTGTCATTTTCCCCAAATCTGTGTTGAAGTATGTGATTACATAGTGGCTTTGCACTAATGCCTTAAATTTTTTTTATATATATATTTTTAGGTGTGTCAAAATAAAAAAAATAACCATTGGTAAAGACAAAGCATGACACTAAGAAAAAATGTATACTCTGTATTATAAATTGATAGTGAACTTGTCACAAGTATGACAGTTAAAAAAGAAGGAGGGGATATTAAAATGATGCATTTCAAGCAAGTAAGATTTAAAATTCAAATTTTAATATAATCTTTTGCTGGTTAAATTTACATCTTTTAAATAGTTTTTTTTTAAATTAATCATTTTTAAATCGGAAAATGTGTCTGTTCCAGTGTGGTCTTAAAGTATATTCCTCTAAACACATGGTGCATATACAGCATTCAACTCAACCGGACATTGACAAAAGAAGCGCTCATGTCATTTCCAAACAAAAGACTATGCCATCTATTAAAAGTATACATATTTAAATGTGAGTGACATGATGAATAAATATAATGAAGTCCAGATTGCAATGGGTAGAAAATGGTGAGTAGTCACAAACGCTTTAATGTTTTCTTTTTATCACGTTTTTTTTTATCGAGCAGCTTTTTATCCCCGGCATGCTTTTTGGCCAAAGGACCATCTGTTGTCTTGTCTTCTGAAGAGCAATTATCTTCTGTCACTCTGAAAATATAAAATTGCAGAATAATTATCATGTGCATGCTTCTGAGTAAAAAAAGAAGTTCGGACATTATCTTTTTGATCTGATTAGTCAAAGAAGTTCAGACATTATCTATTTGATCTGATTAGTCAGTAATAATAATACTTAACAATAGCATAAATATACCTCAGAGGTTTTGCATGAATTTCAGTGAACATTTTTGCCCGTTGGGAGTAGTCTTCATATTGTTCAAGCAATAACTTTCCTGCTTCAGCATTTAAGGCAGACTCAGGGTTAGGCACAATGAGCAAGCATTTGACGGTCTGAAAAAAAAAAAAAAAATCTTAGCATACTGAGCTAAAACAGTAACTTCTAATAAATATATTTTCAATTGGACATTCTGTATTAGAATGGTAGAGTTCTGATTAGTAAATGATAAGAACAAAAATAGCAAATTATAAAAATACAACAAATGGTTGAAAGAAGAAAAAATTAAGCCAAATTTATAACTCACCAATAAAATATGTTTAATTCCCAACTCTGGTTTCCAATCTTTTTTTAATGTGTTAACACAAATTTCTCCATTGCTGGAAACATTAGGATGAAAAATTTTTGTGAGGAAGAATGCCTTTGGTGGTTCAGAGGGAAAATTATTGCCTAGAACTAGTTTCATTCTGAATGTTCCGCCTGAATAAGGAGTGCCAGCTGAAACATACAAAACCTCATAAGATACAAATAAACATGTAACGTGCACAACATGCTTTTTTAAAATCTCTACAAAATAATGTAAGTAATAATGCAAATTATTTTAGTCTTTCAATAATATTTATTATCTTACATTTAAATAGTTTATTTGCATGTGGTAGAAAGATAAATAGTCCTGTAAAAGTACATACATTTTATTTTGCTACATTTAATAACAGAACATTTTATTTTGCTACATTTAATATCATAATTTTAATCTCACCTGGTCCTTCAATTGTGGCTTGAATATCTGTTACATCTTCATCATTCATAAAAACTTTAATGCCTTCTGGTGGATTACGACACAGCCCACTAATTTCTTTTGTCACCAGGCGTATAATTTGAGGGGACAGATTCTCGACATTTGAAACCTGTGTTATAAAATATAAATTAATATAGATGTAAAAAAAATAGTTTAAAAAAGCCTGGATGATGATGGTTTTAATCCACCCCTTCCAAACTCTCTATATGTCAAAAAACATCAATTGTGTTAGCAAAGAAATATGAAATGTGAAAAGATTTTCTATATGAATTTTTTAATCATGTATAAAGTATAAAAATAAATAAAACAAGCAATAAGCAATCAGTTCTGCATTTATCTACTTGATTGTTTCAACATACATAAAATTTTGGGTCTTAAAATGGTGGACTGTAAATCAATAGCATTTATAAAAATATATTAAGCATAGTAAAAATAGTAAAAATACTAAATTTTGGAATTGTTACTGACATAACTTGAAAAAGACATACATTTTTAAGTTAGTATCTTTTTTGTTGATTTCCTCTGAATTATAGTATAATTGAAATATGTTTTTAAAAACTAATTATCTACAGTGTTAATTTTCTAAGGAAAACCTTTAAAAACTACTTAGAAAGCACATAAAATTAATACAGACGATATAATGTAACTGATGTACCGGTAACATGACTTTATAACTGACGAAATGTGTCTATACAAGCAACCAAAAATAGAACGTCAATTACAAATACATCTATGTCGCAGTTAAATAAACATAAATAACAGTACTTTAATGCTTGTCCATTATGTGAAATTGACTGTGACAAAGTAAAATTGCTGGTCTATATTTGATACAAACAATAAATTGAATAAAATGTTTAAAATATCTCACTAAAGTAAAGAGATGAAAATGTAGGCCTAAATGATGCTAAGCCTGAAAACTTTATTATATAATTGTGCTGATAATCTGATAAATAATTAACTTATTTCATTATTAAAAAGGATTTTAAAAGTAAAATATCTTTTTGCTTGAATACATCCATTGAACAAATTGTACCAGATCAAAAAAGAAGATTCCATATTATGTCATTCACTGCACCATTGTGGTATGCAAGGAACACTCTTTTGTCTTCAAAGAGGTTTGGTGCCTTATATATCTGATGCTCATTAATGGGTGCGCATGTGTCCCCAAGATGGGCAGATGTGTTTGGACTTGGCAATGGGACATAGCAGTTCTGCACAAATATGTCAGTAGATTCAGTTGTTTATGTGTTCACTAGTATTTATAAGTGTGGTCACTTGTCTGTGCATTTACTGGGTTCACTTATCTGGGAACCATCCACAGCATTGGTCAGAAATCAACTTGTATTCCCTCATCTCCATGGCGTCAGGCAACCATTTGTATATTCCAACACGCTAGTGGGGGGAGCGCAATGCAGAGCATCAGTGTCATTATAATGCAACCATAGGCCAAAGATGTTCAAATATGCAAAGTAGGGATCCATGAGAAAAGGGAAGAAACACTAGAGGTATATTATTAAAAAATCTCTTTTCTTTGTGTTAAACTTACCTGAGAGTGGGAAGGGCTGAGGTTACACTATCAGTTAAAACTTCACAGTGTCTGTATTTTTAAACCTTAATTTATCTGTATGATTATGAATATTGCTTTAGGACTGGCCTGAGATAGTGAAAAGTAACAAATTTGGGCCACACACTGGTTAAAATAGACAGTAAACAAACTGATGAATTTACATTCAGCGTGTCACACTGAGTTTCTGTGTAGGATTATCTCCCTTTTGTTTAGTAGCGAATTGTTACTAGGGTTAACTATTATATTTTTTATATACACAGATGAAATGTTTTTGATTGATAGCTTTTTAAATTGATATTTCATGTCATTTCCTATCATATTTCAAAACGAGGCTATTTTGTCTGTGTGATTGATCATTTTGAAAAATGGATTTTGACTTTTCTGACATCTTTTGGATTTATAAAGATGAGTAATAGTGAATTGACGAAATTGTAGGTTGGGTTTTCATTATTTTGACTATTTAAAAAAAATGTTAGGTCATAGATTTTAGTTTTGAAGATTTACTCTTAAGTTGGGGGGGGGGGGGGCTTAATTTTGGGGGGGGGGGGGGGTGACTAAATTTAGGGGTAATTTTACGCTCAATTTGGGGGTGAATTTACAATTGAGTTTGCAATACCAGACCTAGTTACCCTGAAAACTCCTAAAATTTCTTCTTAAAATCGCACAATACATCATCGTAATAGTAAATAAACACACAGCATATATAATGTATACAATAATTAATCGCAATGTGGGATCGAGTTAAGTTGACGACAAAATGGAAACTTCTAAAAGAAGATGATTGATGTTTATATTGTAATCTGCGGTATTTGTGTTTTGCAGACGTGTATCTGCAATAGATATCAATTAATATTTGAGAGAACATGCAGATTACCGTCTGTTACTGGTAAAAAATAAAAAAGGTGAAATTTAACATGATTCAAACTTGAAGTTAGATCAAAATAAATTTTGTTAAATTGAAATAAGAATTAAATAACAAATGAGGTTGTCATTTACAAAACCTACGAAGTAACTTGAGATTAATTTTTTAGAAAAAGCTGGTTTAAAAAAAAATTGAACTAAACGGGGGTATTAAAACTCATACAGTGTACAGCTGTTTGTGCATTTTAAAAATAGATACAGTATCAAAAGCCCTCTAAGATCCTATTAAAAAAAATTAAATCTAATGTTGCTGTGCGGAACAGTTGAGCATGTATTCTCATTTTTTAAAAAAACAACCATTTTCCTCTGTTATTGTACCCCCAACGGTTCAGTCTAGTGAAATTTCAGAAAATTATGCCTGAAGCAAACAAAAGTGAGTATTTACTAAAATTGTCACTAGGGCCTCTACGCTTATGTTACTGTTGCCACATCTAGCGAGTTCATTATCAAAACACAATATGACAATCATTACGAAAATGTGGTGAATTTTATATGCTTAAATATTTAACAACCACCATCCTCTCTCAGGGTAAACGTAATATACTTATAGATGGTCCCCAATTTATCATATTTCTCAATCCATTCACAGCTGGAAGTAGAAAAGAGCTAAAACTAATAACTGAAAATTTAGTTTTTAATTTTTTTTTTTAATTGAGAAAAAGCTACCAGAATGTACATGTCAACCCTGACTCCGAAAATTGTTTTTCTGACAGAACTTGGGCATACAATCTTAAAGACATCTCAAAATCATCATTGTATGCCAAAATCATAAGATCTGGTATACCGACTAAGCATTCAGGTTAGGTAGAGTAGTAGATTTTAAGTAGTTGGAAGGTTTCTCTCAAAAAATTATTTAATTAAATTTGCATTTTTTGTGTGTGCTTATTTTTAATTTCTTTCTTCTTTAAAATTTCTTTACTTTTCACTTTTTCTTCATTTAATACAATTAGTTAAATAAAAACTCCCTCTCTCTCAATGTTTTTCTTTCAAAAATAACCAATTCTCATTACTTTACTTATTTTCATTAGTCTCATTAAGAGAAGTAGCAAAAACAACACATTCTCTCTCATTCCCCTTCCATATTTTAGCAGAACTGTTTTTGCACTACTTTTTTTTTTTTAACAAAGCACCTTGACATGTCTGCTAAAATGGAGAGGGGAAAGAGAGAGAATATGCTGTTTCAGCTACTTCTCCTTAAAATTAGTAACAAAATGATAAAATTTAATGAAATATTTTTTTTTAGAAATAACCAAAATCTACTACTCTACCTACACGCTAAGTCAGTATCCCTAACTTGAGCATAAATTTATTAAAATTCACCCCTAAATTTAGTTGTGTGTCGTCGTGGTGGTCCCCCCCCCCCCAATCAAGCATACATTTTCAAACCTAAACAGTTGTACCTAGCACCTAGCCTGAACCCTAAAACTAAAACCATGTGTTTGTGTGCTAAATTTACACACTGTACTGTTCTAGCTGAGAAATGCATAAATTTGAATAAAAAGATTACAATTATTTTTAAAATATTCAAAATTATGCAAACCTAACTTACAATTTCATCTAATACACTTTTACACTTTATTGCAGCTTGCAACAAAAATAAAATCCAAAAGTTGTCAGAAAAATCAATAGCCTTAACCAAAATGCTGAAAAATTGAGCCTAGTCTTAAATATAATATTTAACCACCCAAAGAAATATCAACTTAACACATTCCATCAGCGTATTAATATAAAAAAGAAGAAAAATGAACTCTAGTTAATAGTAGACTCTAGTAACAATCCAAGAATAAACAAAACGGAGATAGAAACTCAGTGGCACACTGACGTAAATAAGCTATTAATTCTATTAAATTTTTAACTACTCATAACTCAGTACTGGAACTGGAGTGCTTTTATGTCACGCGTCGGGAGTGGGTGTCAGATTTTTCTGACAATGTGTGACGAGGGGGTGGGGGAGGCTTAAGCATTGTGACATTACATGACATTGTAAGAAAAGAATTGCCCTAAATTACAGACATTTTTAAGATAAATTACAACCATTGAAATTTTATTTTTAAACTACGACCACTGAGAGCATAAGTAAAGTTTTGCAAGGTCCCAGAAATGACCTCTATTCAAGTTACAGGAGGAGGAGAATCGGAGTGTAGTTACAATGACACTCGTGAGAATTTATAGTAAACTGTGGGCACGGGAGTCACAGAATTAGGACTACCTCGTAAAGTGGGTTGGAACGAAAAAAAAAAAGGTTGACCGGAGGGGGGGTGTCCCTTAGTAAATGCTTTACAGCGCTGCAGGCCCACTCCGTTTTTAACACGCCCCGCCCCCCCACAAAACGTATAAATTATATTGTAATTAATAAAAATATATAAATATAATTAAATAATTTAATTATCGTAGTTTTATTTCTTTAATTAACTTTTTATAAACAAAGAAAACACTTACCAATACAAATACAAGTAATGGGCCAACAAATTCACCAGGAAAAAATTTACTGCTGCTAATCAAAATGCATAAAAACTATTTTTTTTTAAAAGCAGCAATAACTAGCAATGGCGGTGAATATAATTTTCTGGTCTCCCACACCTCAGAGCTGGAGAGACACTCTTTCCCCTGGTTAAGAACCACTGCTCTAG